CAGCCTTTTGTTGCTTTCTTACCCTTGAATGGGTTTTGTGTCGGTCATGATCAAAAGCATAAGAATGGCTAAATGATAGGGCAAAACCAATTTCAGGAGAAATCAAACTCAACTCAAATTAAAAACTTGACACCTGTTGATCTGAATCCCACAAAGGAAATACTGTGTGCATTATTAATACTGATGTGTATCATAACACTATCACACTTGTCTTCCCATGTCATTCCAAATGTGTTCAATCGGGTTCAATTTTTGTAAAAAGCTGTTCATCAGAACAGATCAGGCGAAGTGTTGTCATGTTGAGATGTCAGTCCAGGCCCATGTTGTTGTATGAATGACTGGGCTAAAAGGTGAGGTGAAATTGGGTTTAACATCGTGCTTGAGAATATTTCGCTCGTATGACGACGTGCATGTGTGTGTATGTGTATATGCGTCTGCTTGTACTAGCCCAGACTTAAGCTGGTTTTATAGTGCTAGACCCACTGAGATACCATGCCGCAGTGAAGCATGAATACCCCACTCAGACACATTATACTGACTCCAAGCCCACCAGTCCTTGTTGTACCCATTAAGGCCGAGCGCCAGGCAGGGACCAACAAGTACCATATACCACGTCTTTTGGTATAACTCGCGTATTTACAGGTTGCGCATAAATGCACTGCTATTATTGTACACATGTACTATTGGCCTCAGGGCCACATATACAAATAAATATGTCTGTAAGAAGTATGAGGTACAACAGCTTTACATTAAATGAACTTTCAAATTCTGTACCTCTTTCGAAGTAGACTTTTCATTTGTTTAACATGAATACAACCAAATATGGTGGCCATTACACTGGTATGTCGCCGGGATAGCATTGTCAAATAACTCTATCCAAGAGGACCTGGCCGACAGTGTGAACAAATATTCAGTGGGGAATTGTAGCTGATTTCAGATAATCTTAACGTATGCATCCACTTCAGCATTATTCAGCCATATAGCAACAATGTGTTATGTGCTAAGCAAAGTCAAACAAACTTGCAGCCTTCCAACTTCCATAAATCAACAGATACTCCTCAAATTGAAAATTAACTTTAAATAGGACACAATACATTTGTTAATAAAAACATCTAACAACTTAATCCAATAAAGAACTTTTATTTGGAATATGTTTTCATCAGATCATGACATCATAAGTAAACAAAACCAAAACAGCTTAAGACTTCTTAATTTCAGTTAAGTTACACCATGTGAAGTGGAGTTAATGGATCCAAAACATCTTACAAGATTAATGAATACAATGTGCTAAAGTAACACAACTGTCAACAAAACACATCCTCACTGAATATTACTTGAATTTCACAATACATATGTAAATGGTTATGAAGAGGGCAAAATTACACATCCATCGTGACTAACAGCTGTAATTATGTCAATGTTTCAAAAACTGACTGGAATTCTGTAAGTCAATCATAGAAATGCTGTACTGGTTTCATACGCATACAGTCTCAGCATCCTGAACCTTAAGGTATTGGAATGTTATAAAAAACCAGGGTGAACTTTTATGTTAACAAGATGGAACATATGGGTTATGTACTGGTTAGGGGGCCATTACTTGGTCAAAACAACAAATTTCAAAATGATGGATGCAGACAGGGCAAAGCTTGAGTGAGATTGGTTAAATGCTACTTAGAACACTTTTCAAGTTGCCATGGCCCTGCAACTTAGCAAGAAGTGTAGTCAACAAACATCAATGATCATCAAACACAAAAGAAGTAGTATCAACAATGATAATAATACTCCGAATACTACTTAACACCTGATCCACAGGTTTACCTTGAAAAAAATGCCATAAAACATCCATATGTTATGTTGTCTTACTTCCTAGTGGTTTTCCGAAGCATTCCTGGCAGTCTCCAATTTTACACATGATGGATCTTCTGCTGCATCCACCTCAGTAGTACAAGTGATATGAATCATTAGTTGAGGCCTTGGATATTATTGATCAGCTGTACTGACTCAAAATATCTGATCCTTTTCACTTTGATAGGAAGGAATATCTTGACCACAAATCCTGCAAAACCTTTACTTGGGGAAGGTGATTTATTGAAGGGTAAAGCTTTGTTGTCAGATGCATAAGAGTCTTTGCCCTGCTGGATAGTAGAGAGAGGCTATGCCCAGTGTATGAAATGAGGCAAAAACCTAGCCAGACATCATGAAGGTAACTTCAAAATGTTACCAGCCAAAAATGGATTTAATCAGACCAGACACCAAGACATGGTGAATTTATTCAGATGTATGGAACATCTAAACTCTTTACCAGACAATTGGGCTGGAGAGTTATAAATTTAGACTGTGTGTAAGAAATCTAGCCCATCTCAGGTGGTCGGACAGGCCTTTTTTTATATACTGATATGCCTTTAAGTCTTCAAATATTCTGGACTGACACCGCCACAGCAGATCAAATACAAATACAAAGTTTTCCTGCTTGTCTTCAAGTGTCTCCACAATCAAGCCCCTCAGTATCTCTCCAGCATGATAACCAGATATCAACCTGTCAAATCTCTTCGATCCTCTCACCAGTTTCTCCTTCAGCCACCTGCACTAAAAAACAGTCGCATCACCAGCCGTTGTTTTCAAATTGCCGGACCAAACTTGTGGAATCAACTCCCACAACACCTGAGATCTAACCACGACCTGGACTCATTCAAATCACAGCTAAAGACTCATTACTTCTGTGAAGCATACAACAACTAACTTTCCATCAGTCTCAAGCACTGCAGAGCAGTTTATTTCTGGATATAGCACTATATACGTTTTTCCATAGATAAATAGATAGATGACTGTGGAAGCTTGTGTTTTTTCTGTCTGATCTTGAAAAGGGGAGCTTCTGGCCTTTGTCCCTCTACTGTAAAATCTTCTTGGTCAGGGCATGGATTACGTAAATAACAGATCAAGGCCAGCTAACTTATTGGCAAAGGCATGTCTGGCTGAGCCCACCAAATGTTCCATAGTTCCATAGATAAACCCAACAATATCAGTTCCAGTTCCTTGACGGCATCTTGTCCATGACCACCTGCTTCATATGATGAATAACTTGTGGTATTTCTGATCGTACAATCAATACCATTCAGTGCAGTTCCCTACTGTTATAAGGTTGGGAAGAAGGTGAAGTTCTTTCTGCAGATCTTAAGTCATGGTCAGTGACTTGTGCGATAACACATTCCCAGCACTGACCATGGGGATCTTGTGGAGACATCAATTTACCACAATTTATTAATTTTTTAGTACCCTAAGGGTAGGATATATATAATATATATATATAATGTTGATGCCTTTAGATGTATCCATATCAATATCAAAAGCCAAACCTGGGAAAATTTATCATATTTTAACAGAGAACAAGTAACCACATACATTTATTTAAAGTCATTATGGATAGTACTTGGGAAGACCACAAGGAAGAAATACAACACAAGACAATGGTCTTAAAATTTGGTTTTGAAGTTAAACCTGTGGATCACAAACAAGTTTCAGGAAATATGGAATTCAAGTGTTAGAGGGACATATTCGAAAGAATTATTTTTTGTCATTTGAACAGAGGTCAAGTTCGAAACTGTATATTTCTTAATGCTAAATTTTGTATTCAAGAGTGAGTTAGATGCGCTAACACCGCTTGGGACAACCTTGAAGTCATATCATGTGTTATCTGCCAGACGTGGGAATGAAGCCTGAAGTGATTCAGATTTAATGACATTTACGAACGAACGAACGAACCTCTGTTCTAACACGGCCCTTTCATGGTGCGAGTGTTCAGGATTCGTGATTGGTTGCAATCAGATTTAGTTCTGCAATCAGAGACGTTGTTTCAAAAGTGATCATTTGGCAAGGCCTCGCCAATTTCCATATGCTTCAGGAAAACTAGAACATCTTCCCCTGTGCAATGCGCAAACGTTTCTTCTAGACAGAACTCAGCCATGTAATGGTGGATCAATGGTGTCTCCATCGCCCTCGTTGACAACAGACAAGCTAGCCATTAAATGTCTTGTGTGGTACACCAACACAAGTCCCCGGCAGAGGAGGGATATTCTTGGCCCCATATCAGCTTGCATTAGTCAAGTTGGATCTAAGTCGATATCGTTGTAACTCGTGTTCTGATTGGATAGAAAAAAGAGAGATAATTTGTGTTGCAATTTTTTACCCTTGGGGATTTTACGAGAACCGGGAAATATGGCCGTATTAGAACAGGTTTGTAGGAAGATATGACAAGTAACCTCTGTGGGAAGAGAATGGTGAAACCCATGAGAATGGGAAAAGTGCTGACAAAATTAGACGCATTATCAAGGCAATTCAGGATGCAAACTAACATTCTTGGGTTTCAGGTATGCACAAAGGATGCAACTCTGCCCTGTAATTAAACCTATGAAGAAATGTAAAGGTTTACAATTCCAAAGCCATGGGATAAACAGTCTGATGTGCCATATATTTAGTCAATATTACATAGAACATATTTTAGTCTCCCTTCAAGACTCTGACATGTACTGTTTCTCTTGTCTGCTATTAAACAAAGAGGCTTCTCTTTGGTGGGCTGTACATCCTGTTTGGATGTTTGATGCAATGGGAGTTTGGTCTTTGATGTAATCAGAGTAACTGACAAACTGATCAAATTAACCATATTTTGGCTGGTCAGCCAGCATCCATGATTTTGACCTGCTAAAAAATTGTTTTGCAATACACTCCTCAGCCACAAAGTCAATGATGGTGAAACTTTGTCTGAAGCTTCTTGTCAACAGCATCCCCTTATGTTGATGAAACCCAACTTAATGTTTTTGCCAACAATATCTAAACAGCTAGTTTTTGTCATTGTGCATCATTGAAATAGTGATAACTTAAGGAAATTGGTACACAAAGCTAATAATCCAATTTCTTTTCTATGGACAACTCCATGCCATTATCACTCTTCACATCTGAAAAAAAATGTTTCAAACTACTATCTTGAAATAAAATTCTTGAACACATTTATAAATCTGATTTTATTATATTTCTACCAAAAAGAATGCAACAAGTTAAAAGTTAATGGTCTGATGACAAATGGGAAGATGAATAAGCCCATTTGGATGTTTGGTCCTGGAAAACAAAACATCAACAACAATGCTGTCAAATGGACAACAGGATGAAATGTATACACAGTGGGTCTTCAATGTATGTTGTGTTTGTTGAGTTACCAATAGAAACATAACAAGCAAAAATTATAATTCAGGTGTTTAAGCATCTTTACCTTTATTGACCCTCACCATCACTGCAAAAACAGAATGCTATCATTTTCCTGACACACCTAACTATCTATCCACATCTACGCAATAAAGAGATAAACACAATTAAAGCTAAGCATGTTGAAAAGTTCATAAAAAAAGAGGGCAGTGACAACCAACACTAGTCAGCCTCATATTCATCAAGTACCTCAAAGTCACTATCCATGTGCATGCTTTCACAGCTTTCGTTGCTTCCAATATCTGAAACAAAGAAAAACGATGATTATGTTATCGTTAACCTATGTAACCAGGATAGCTTAAGGTGTTATTAGTAATCATTTTTCACACTAAACTATGCATATTCATTTCTAGATTTCTAGATCCTACAACTTTTTGAGTTTTTGATTCATCTAGTGCATATCTGCATATGAATCAATTTAATTAAACTAAGATTTTATTGCTAGCATTTTTGTCATGAGGAGTATGCTCACAATATAGTTTCATGATGTGATTTACAAAGACACAATGTTCGAAATAAGCAAGAAAATTACAGAAGCAATAAATTCTGAAGCAGAATCTGAATTTGAACATAAATATGCAACATTATGTTTGATGATAAAGTAAACATATCCAAAAAAACAAGGCACCAAGAGGTTAAGTTTTATGGATTGGAGTGGAGAGAGTTAGTTTTATGCCGCTTTTAGCAATATTCCAGCAATCTCACGGCGGGGGACACGAGAAATGGGCTTCACACATTGTACCCATGTGGGGAATTGAACCCGGGTCTTCAGTGTGACAAGCAAACGCTTTAACCACTAGGCTACCCCACCGCCCCTGGAAGTAAGTACATTTATTGTTCCATGAGTTAATTCAATTTCTGTTTTTCTTCTCTCACTCTTCCTCATAATTGTCTTTCCAGTAATATCTTGTGCTACATACGTAGGGTGTGATGTTACACCATACAGCGAGGAGACATGTTTTTCTTTTCCCATTCGCACATCAATTTACATTGAGTAAGTGAGTATGGTTTTACTCCGCTTTTAGCAATGTTCAGCAATTGCACGGCGGGGGGACACCAGAAATGGGCTTCACACATTGTACCCATGTGGTGAATCAAACCCGGGCCTTCGGTGTGACGAGTGAACACTTTAACCAGTGGGCTACCCCACCACCCCTCAATTTACATGGATGTCTCCGATTTCTTTTGCATGTATTTACCCTTATTTATCTGCTTTCTTTATGGAAAACCAATCATTAGAAAAGGCAACCTGATTGTGAATCAGAATATTAAATGTAAGCTATTGTGAAAGCTCTTTTCCTTTGAAAGACAGTGCATTGCATGAGATTACTAATTATAACACTCAAGTCAATGATTATGAGTGAAAGTTCCATGTATACTATTCATATATTTTATGATTATAAAATATATCACAAAAATGTTACTTATTAATGATGACAAACCTACAGTCCGTTTGGCTCAAAAGCGGACCGATGAATTGCAGTCTAACTTGAAAACTAATAAACATAACATACTCAATGAAACGCTGATCATAATCAAAACATCATACCCACTCTGTGAGGTTTTTGCAGTATTTTTGTCCTAAAAATAATAAATTTTGTTTAACAAACTATCATTAAAATATTGACACAGTTCACTGTTTGTTACGAGGGAGGAGTGCAGAGAAAGGGACAGCCAGGTGTTCAAGAAGCACGTTCACAGACAAAGTTATTTATTCATTAACCTGTGCTGTGCTGTCTCCATCCATTCTCAAACACCTGGCTGTACCTTTCTCTGCACTCCTCCCTCGTAACAAATAGTGAACTGTGTCAATATTTTAATGATAGATTGTTAAACAACTTTTTATTTTTAGGACAAAAATTCTGCAAAAACCTCACAGAGTGGGTATGATGTTTTGATTATGATCAACATTTCATTGAGTATTTTATGTTCATTAGTTTTCGAGTTAGATTGCAATTCATCGGTCTGCTTTTGAGCAAAACGGACTATAATGTGGTGTCAAATCATTCGTTATCAACCTGATCTTTATTACGTAACAGCATTAGAAAAGCAGATTTAGCTTTTCAATCCAATTTAAACTAATTAAATGATTAGTGATAAGAGTGAATACAAGTGTATTTGGTATCCTCCCATTACACCTACATCCCATTACCCCTACAGCTTATAGCAACAAAGTTCACTGTCCAATGCACTGCTAATCCCCTTCCTGTTACCTGTTACCTGGACAATGGACTAGCCCAAACACATGAACACAAGATTTAATTGTTTTAATTTATGGATTTAATTACACAAATAAATGAATATAATACACAGATATCTTCCTGGTAGTGACATGAATATGAGCAGCAGGTCATGGTAACTTTGTAATGTTAAGTTTTGTCTTTTAAACAAGTCTCTATCCCAATTGAGGAGATGGCCCACAGCATTGGTGTTTTCAGCCCAAGATTGAGATGCTCCTTGAGGCGACACAAACGATGCTCCATCTCTCTGTACACTCTCTTTCTGCTTCTCTGTGCTGCTCCAAAGTCTATCTGGGAAATTTTCGCTCTCTCAGCGTGTTCAACTTTCCTGATCACCTCCACAAATCGGTAGATGTTGGGGTGTCGAGTGGGAGTCCCCGGTTCAGGCGGTTGTGGAATCCCTCTAGGTTGTTGTTTGTCCTTGGACCTGTTGTTGAGTGATTGTTCCACAGTGGCAGACGGAATCTTGCGTCGTCGTCGACCCAGGTAGTCACCATGTAATCGTTGAAGGTGGCCGCTCTTGGTACATCAGGAGCGTCGTCCATGGCGTCTACCCATGTGTCCTGGATAATGTTCTGGGGTAAAAGGGGTAGTCCAGCCGCTCTTCTTACCCATCTGGATATTTCCAGATCCTCTCTGTAAGCAACAGCAAGTACCAGATCCTGGACCTTCCTCCAAATCGACTGAGAGTAGTGGAAGAAGCAACCCTTCACTTCAGCAGTCGGAAACTCTCTCTCTATAGCATGAATTGACGCCAGCTCAAAGTCTGTCTGGACACAGGATGGGGCAAGCGGCCGGTTAAGTCTCTGCTGAACTTCATTCTTGATGAGTCTGAAGAGTCTGGAGTAGGTCTCAGTCTGACGGTCGGGGAGTAAGGTGAAGATGAGGGGATAGGTTGTGGTTCCACGTCTTGCATGTAGGATGTACACTTGATTCCACAGACCAGGGCAGGCAGTAAAGGTTCCATCCATATAGATGATTTCAGAAGACTGCAAGGCCTGAAGACTATCCATGGTGCCAAATGCCAGGATCTTATCGTCATCACCATCTGAAAACAGGAGGAAGGGTCGACCATCTGCTGTCTGCGTCCAGGAATCTTGAAGGTTCACTTCCGATCTCGTCTGCGGCAAAACAGGAATTGTCTTCTGTCGATGGCGGTACATAGCACTGCTCATGGTCGGGAAGGATGGCATCAATGGTATCTTATCATCGTCCAAGTTCGTAATCTCGTTGTAGAGGGTGTGCATCGATGCTGACTCCTCCCTCGCTCTCTTCCTCAGGTTGCTGACAAACCGGACCTTCTGGCTATCCTCTGGTGGATGATTATGGTCCGTCGCATTCCTCAAAACATTTCCGACTGTTGTGACTCTGCCTCTGCAAGTTGACTGGACACACTTCCAGTGTACACAAGACTGTCATGTTAGTTTGTTTCCAACATTTATATACTATGCTAAGTCATCTCAAATTACTTGTCTCATCTCAGTGTCAATTTCAACATTTACTTCATTTCATCCTAACAAACTTTCTCTAACCAAGAACACCTTAATCCTTTCTAAGTTGTATACACAACACTTTAATCGCTCCCATGGGTAAGTTCATTATGCCAGACAGGTAAATGCCGTGTGTTGTTTTAACTAATTGTAGGGGTACTGGGATGTAGGGGTACTGGGATACAACCATGTATTTGCATAGAATGACTTTGTCACACCATAGAGGAGAAATGTTTTCCTTTCCTCCTTACATCAACTAACATTGATGACCTTAAGTGTCATAACTGGTGTTTCTATTCACAACTGACAGCTAATGTTGAAAATCAGATTTTAACTAGCTGTTTCTCCGAACCTGTCCCGTCGAGCACGCATGGGATGAAATGAAGAGACATCTATGTCAAGATCAGAATAAGCCACTGATATTAGCTGAATTGGGACAAGAGTTGGTTATGACATGGTACAATATTCCCAAAGCTATTTCCAATTGCTTAGTGTCTTCAAACCTGCATCAACACCAATGGCGGACACACACGAAACTGAACTGACTTTTCACACATTTCTTCAAGGGCGTGTCACAATGCTTAGTGTCAAATCATACAGATTTCGATATTATCCTGTCAACAGTTAAACAGTGATTAAGGAAAACACCACAAATCATGTTATTATCTTTTTGCCCTTAAAAATTGGCATGGTATCAAATAATACACAGTTACTTTATTCCAGTGGTATAGCTGTGAGCCATAGGCAATGCAGTTTTCCAAGCAAGGTGAGACAGGGAAGCTTTGTCCATGGGTTCAAACGGATGGTGTAATAGCACTGAGTTCAAACGACCTATCAGAACTGGGCCTTTTCAGATATGTATGCTTTGCTCAGTAAAGACTGATGCCAAATTTGAAGACATTGGGTACAACAGTTCATGAGATATCGCCATAACAGAGTTTGAAAAGTGGTCAAAGTGTCGTGGTGACCTTGAAAATAAGGTCAAGGTCACACAAATCGACTGATGTCTGGGTAATCCCCCAATGTAGGCTGTCATCAAATTTGAAGACATTGGGTACAACAGTTCATGAGGTATCGTGCTAACAAGAATCGGGACGTAACGTACATGCGGACACCGCTGAATACATAGTCCCCTGTTCCGCGTTGCGGCGGGGGGACAATTAAAACACAATTATCATTTATTCATGACATATAATATACATTGCTGATTATGAAAAATCAAATAAACAAAATTATAAGCGTACAATCGCAAATCAAAAGTGCAATATTTTGTATTTGGGTTTACTACCCTCGAAACGAAGCACCCGGGATACAGAACCCAGTCAGGGTGGGTGGGCGTGCACTTAAGTGTAACGAGGACTTTTAATGGCTGGTTCATTTGCCGATACACTCAGGGATCTTTGTGTGTGTATAGAGATGTTGGGTTTTGTAAATACATGCTCATTTTTTCTGCATTTGCGTTCGATTCAATCAACAAATACTGAGATGTTGAACTACTGTGAGGCTGGAAACTGTCGTTCATCCAAGTACAAAGCAGGACTTGAAACTGACAATCTTGAGTTTGCACTGGTTTTTTGTCTGATCCAGTCATCTGAGAAAAATGGATGCAGTTTGTTCTCGAGAAGCGCTCATGGTGGCAACCTCGCAAGCATTCACGATTATGCTCAGATCATTTTAGTGATCTGCTGGATGAAGACGATGAATGAGAGAATGCTGTTGTCAAATTTTTTCATCGCGGGGGTTTTCAATTTTATAAGTTGAATTTGCATTTTTGATAATTTGTTACTGTAGGTTCATACCGAAAGGTTTCAGAATCTGTAAAGTTGTGCTTTGCGTTGCATGTAAGCTGTAAGCGATAAAGGTGATATTGGAACCAGCGAAACAAGATGGTTGCCAAGCTCCCCAAGTCTGCCAGAGCCTCTACAAATCTATCCAGGACATCAGCGGTTATAATGATTGGGTGTTGTTGGTTGCTTCTTCGCTAGCTTCTTATCCTCACACTTCTACTGAAAGCTGACGTGGATAAGGTCGAGCAGACATCACATTGAGTGCTGAAGGATCAGGGGGGCTTCAACACACATTGATTATGGGGATCATGATGAGACATAAGTTAGCCACAATTACAGCAATATTGAATGCCCGAAAGTGAAGAAGAGATATACTTAGATCCTTTAGATTGGCCTAATTTAAAATTAAATTTAGAAACTTAAACCTGGGAAATCGAGAAGAACTTTAACAGAAAAACAAGCAGACAACCACAGGAAATTTTAAGAACTTCCAAGCAGTTTTCCGGGGAGACAACTCCTTCAGAAAGCTCTTGGGAAGACCAATAGGAGGAAGGACAACATAACTTAAAAGATGTTTTCAAATTTTCAGGGTAAAGGCAGTCAAGTGATAGAGAGATGTATTCATAAGAGTTATAGTGTTTATATGATGATGAAACTCCCAAACATCTACATTCCAGAAATTCAAAAATATCTATAAAATGTTCATTCAACCACATTTCAAATGATTCCAAGTGATTAATTGTAACTGGTATACCAAAAAATGCCCCGGCATCCACTTTCTTATGAAACAGGCTGGGAACCATTATTGGAACATAGAAATTAATGATTTAATCATAATGTTGCTTCTTCCCATGTGGTGACTGACAGAGAGGTTCTTAATTTTTTTCTTGATCTGCATATTAACTAATTAGAAGAAAAAGCTACTCTGTTTTCAATTTCGGGGTCCTTTATCGTTGATTTAAGACCGCTAAATGTTTAATTTAAAGCCTCACACACGGTTTAGCGGTCTTAAATCAACGATAAAGGTCCGCAAAATTGAAAACAGAGTAGCTTTATCTTCTTTCTAGCACGACTGATAAGCGTTTTAAAACCGAACTGTTTGGCGCGCAAGAACACAAGGCACAAAGGGGCCTTTTTCCTGGAAATAACTTGTAATCGTCCCGTTGAGGGACAGGTTGTGTAATGAACAAAATAAGACATTTTCAACAACATAAATGCTATATTTCAGGAACCAGTATGTTTGTATATGAACAAGTAGCATACATAAATACATAAAAATACAGTTTATACTGTGAGCAAGTACAATTATTTGATTTTTCTCAAGCGAAGTATTGATCTCCCCTACTGTATGACAATCGACTCGCCCCAAATTCAAGCCGTGAACTCGCTAAGTTTAGTCGCCGCTAACTTTATTCATGGAAATAATTGTTGATAACCACCCTACTATTCCCAATTTGGAAAAGACCTGGAAAAGGGCATTACGGCCGGGACGGAAGCAGTCAGGTTAGGACGTGTGGGCCGACATGTGTTGTCAACGTCAACACACGTAGATCTAGACCAACGAGTTCGTTGTATTCATACGCGGCGAATCGGTCACTTTAATTAGCGGTCCTTAAACTGTCATTTAAGTATGTTTTTTGATGAGCTTTCAGCCAATCAGAATCGAGTATCACACATTGTCGTGCTACAATGATTAATTAAAACGGAACATTTTTTCACACTGAAATTATTAACGACTCAGTTTTCTGATGATCGTCATGATTTCTCATTATAAAATGACATGGATAAATCTGTGCTATCAAGAGCCAGACAAGGTGAGAATAAACAACATATCACAACAAAACAAGAAGTGTACTTAATTTGCAAGAGGAAATGTGAACTTTTTACCTTCATTGTCTGTAACAGTGTTACTTCCAGGTGCTTTGGACGACACCCCTGCAGGATCTACTGGATAAATATGTGAATTGTCAATCAAATCAATTGTAGGAACCTCAGCTGCCATTTCCATTTCTTCTTCAAAATCCTGTCCAACAACTGGGATCACATCATCAAGATGACAACTTTGCCCAGAAGTTTCTTCTTGGCTGTCAGTAATACCAGAGTCTGTCTGTAGATCTGCAGAAACCTTTGTTTTTTCATTGAGAGTGCTTTCTTTTCGAGGAAGTGTGCTTTCATCTTCATTTCCTCTTGCCACACTCAGTTCAGAAACATTTTCGTTTTCATTCACCATTAGATGTTGTTTTTCTTTTGTTTCATCTGAAATGTCAGAACTTTTTTCCATATCATTTTTACAGCCTGCAACTCCCTCTACTTCAACTGACAGAAAGATCTTCTCCTGACGCTCTTTATCATCATCACCAACTACAATGCTGCTGTCAATCTTCACTGCATCTTTGAGGGTAGCTGTATTCAAATTTTTACAATCTTGTTCACATCCACCTTCTGCGACATTAATCCCATGAGTAAGAGCCAGTGGAGTTTCAACCAAATCGGTATTGGTACAGTTATTCTCTGTATCAACCACTAAAGCTTTGCTTCTGATAATCATGTCACTGGACATGACTTTGTTTTCAATGGGCTTTTCCGTATCTTTTGCTTTGGTTTCCTCACTGTCAGGGGTTATTATACTTGGCTGAGGAGGGGGAGGAGGAATAGGTATATCATCAAGGTTGATATTTGACGCACAGTCCCGGGCAGTGCAAGCAGAATCATGATAGAAAACACTGTACAATTCTTCAGCAGAGGACGAAGAATTAGAAGATGGATCTTTTGGCAGTGAGAGATTCTGTGATCTTGGTGGTGGTGGTTTCTTAGCAGCTATAGGTGTTGACATATCTTCTTCTATTCCAAGTAACTTCATGTCACTCTTCATGTCACTCAGTTTCTCCCCTTCTTGATTTTTTATTTCATCTGGACTTTTAGCTCTGATGTTGCAAGGCTTCTTTACTGTACCTGAACGCAGTTTATACACAGGCAACTTCTTAGTTGTGGGACCTCCTATTGTAAGAAACATGTCAAGTGAGGCAGGTTGAACACTTTCCGATTTTGTAATGCCTTTCTTCACTGGGAGAGCTTCTGCTTTATTCTTGGTTCTAAACAACTCTTTCTTGGTAACTGGTGTCCAAGGAGGAAGGATCCGAGGTTGAGGTTTTATTCCAGTTTTCCCAGTAAGTTTTATTGCTATTTTCCCTTTTGTTGTGTCCTCTTGTTTGGAATCTGCAGGGATTTCTTCTTTCTGTGGCTTTGCTTTATCTTCACAAATCCTTTTATGTTTCTGAGAAATAGGAGTTTCGTTTACCTCTTGTTTTCTCTCTTCATCATGGCTATCCAGGTTACTTTTGTATGATGGTAAGTTCTCAACCACATGAGGTACTTCATCAATTTCACCTTGCAGACTTTTACATTTTCTAACTTTTTCCTTTTCACCATTCTTTTTCTCTTCCTCTTTCACTTGTGATAAAAAGGCAGTCTTTTCAAGTGTGTATCGTTTCTCGTAAAATTCATTCTGTTGTAGATGATTCTAAAAGAGTAATAAGAGCAAGTCAGAATTAAGCTAGTTACACTGATGTGAAATGAAATACTTATGTTACAACAAATGGATACTTCATTAAGCTACATTTTTAACCACAGCTCCAAAAGCTTCTGAAACTCACTCATTCTAAATTGGGGGGTGGTTATGTGTGGAGGGAAAAGGGCATTCCTATGAAGTTGATCTGCAGCCTGTGAGTAGAGAGAGCTGTTTTACTATTGGCAGCAGAGCATGCTTAGTTGTAACACATACAGACATAGCACATGGATGTAAAGAAACCAAATACTTTCAAATGAAATTATGTATGCAACTTAGAAAACAGTGGTGGAAATAGGGAGGAAAATGACTGATAATAAAGTTTTGCCTTCAACAACCTTAAATATTTTTTTTGAGACATGAAAACAAAACAGAAAAATGTGACAGACTTAAGCAACTATCAAACAAGAAGACAAAGTCATTAATATCCCCTGCAATGGCCAAATACTCTTCATGAATATGTCTACGGTTATGATTATATCAAATGTTTTGGTGTGTATATAGAAAAGTGAAAGGAGAGTATTGAAAGGTTTTAAAAGTTCTGCTCCAGAAAGGAGCAGTACCACAATTTCAGTCTAAGTCAAACTTGTTGCCATGGAAACGCCAAAATATTTTATTCATAATAACAAAACTACCAAAAGGCACCAGTACACCACCGGACCAATCTATGCGCCAAGTTTGGTGAAGAAATAGTGAACGGTTTCAAAGTTCAGCTCCGGAAAAGAGCACTACCACCAATTTCAGTCTAAGTCGAACTTGTTGCCATGGAAACGCCAAAAATATTTAATTCAGAATACCAAAACTACCAAAAGGCAACAGTACACCACCAGATCTATCCATGTGCCAAGTTTGGTGAACGGTTTTAAAGTTCTGCTCCGGAAAATACAAATGTGCCCGGACGTACGGATGCACGCACGGACGTCCATTTTAATACCCCCACAAAACGCGTTGCGGGGGATAACAAGGATCTGCATATTACACAAGAAACTATGAATATAGTGGTAGTTGGGTAATTAGAGTCCAAACTACAAAACTTTTTTGATTTTAGCTACACTAATAACAGGAATGTCACAAGAGAATCAGGAACAAATCCATTTAACCAATTTGACATCAGGACTGTGTGATTTGTCAGTGAACATGTAATTAGGAAAGAGATTGTCCTCACAAGGATAAACAGGAAGCTAGAGGAATGGAGGAGGAAGTGGAATTAAACAAGAAGACAAAGTCATCAATATCCCCCGCAATGGCAAAATACTCTTCATGATTATGTCTACGAGTTATGATTATGTCAAATATTTAGGTGTGTATATAGAAAAGTGGAAGGAGAGTATTGAAAGGTTTTTAAAGTTCTGCTCCAGAAAGCAGCACTATCACCAATTTCTATCTATCTATCTATGTGCCAAGTTTGGTGAAGAAATAGTGAACAGTTTTAGAGTTATGGTCCGGAAAGGAGCACTACCACAAATTTCAGTCTAAGTCGAACTTGTTGCCATGGAAACGCCAAAAATATTTTATTCAGAATTCCAAAACTACCAAAAGGCACCAGTACACCACCAGATCTATCCATGGACCACGTTTGGTGAAGAAATATTGAACGGTTTTAGAGTTCTGCTCCGGAAAAGAGCACTACCAATAATTTCAGTCAAAGTCGAACTTGTTGCAATGGAAACGCCAAAAATATTTAATTCAGAATTCCAAAACTACCAAAAGGCACCAGTACACCACCAGATCCATGTATGTGCCAAGTTTGGTGAAGAAATATTGAACGGTTTTAGAGTTCTGCTCCGGAAAAGACAAATGTGCACGGATAGACGGACGGACGGACGGAGTCCATTTTAATACCCCCCGCAAAACGCGTTGAGGGGGATAATAAAGAAAAGTACATTGCAATTTAACATTATTAACCAGTGAATGAGTTATACTTTTGGATGTGCTATGTTGTACACTACCTGTACAAGAACAGCATGTGGAAGGATGTGGCTGGATCAGTACATTGAATCACAAAATGAAGTTACAACCTGTACTAGCATAAAGACCTTTTGGTTTGGAAAATGTATCCACTTTTTCAACAGTAGTTATACCAATGGCAATCAGTAGCACATCATGTACAATGAAAACTCAGATTGTAGATTCTGATATTCTACAACCCGGCAGCAACGGGAATAGACAGTTGCATCTGATGGTCTAAGATTTACCACTTTGGTGAAACCAACAAGCACAAGTCTGGTGCTCAAAAACCAAGAAATCTAATTGGTGTGAAGAAGCAAGAGGAAGATCAAGTGATAATAACTGTAGGTGTTCTGCCAAGGCAGCGGCCTTGCAGCATTCTCGCATATTTTAAAAGAATGGAAGGGACATCAGGCGAAATCAATTTATAGTGATTTGAAATAGTGCCAAGCAAGTTAAACAAAAATACTTTTATCCCTGACTCGAACATAATATTTGCTTCTGTTGCTCACAAGTCTCGTAAATAAACTGAAGAAATCTGAAACGGATGTACAAAATGAAAGCCCGAAAAGTGTACTTGAAGCAAGCAGTTCAGAAACCACGTGTTGGTGAAAATAACAGTTCAAGTGGCGAAAAATAGCGCTAAACAGAGACAATTTCACCAGGCTTGGCTGAGAGATACATGGCTTTCATATAATTCTGAAAGTAACTCTATGACTTGAAGTTTGTGTATTAAACACGGACAATGAAATAAGATGACAGAACCGAATACAATTTTCAGAACAAGTATCGTCAAGTCACACAAGTTCGATTGCATGTAACTTCGATCGCCCATTTTGTACAGTAATTGTCGCAATACGTAGCGATAACTTACGATATCTGCAGCTTTGATCTTCTGGTGACACCACTTTCATTCGTTTGGACTGGAAAATGTTTCGTGTCAAGTTACCAAATGTAAGTTATAGCTCATTTTCAGCAAACAACTATTTTTTAACCCTAGATCAATAATGTAACTTTATCAGCTCAAATAAAATGTAAACAGTATAAATTTCACACGTTGTAAATTGACAGCACCCCCTGTCTTCTGTTTGTTTACGTTGCTGGTCTAATTGTGACATGTCCAGACACGTGATGTCCTTGTCAAAATTTAAAACTTTGGAAACAAGTAAGGGCCATTTCTTATAGAAAAGTTAATGCTTTTTGAGAATTTCCGTGAATTTGTATCTGATGAAGTTCGAGCTATTGCCTCATTGATAAATACAACCTTGGCACAATGTACCCACCCTACATATCAGCACAAAACACATTTACGTTTCTGCAAGCCAGTTCGTGGTGTTTGTCGACATTCTGAGGTTTGATGCCTCTCACGATGAGCCTGAAGAATAATTCCCTGCATAATACTTCTATATAAGCTGAATATTTTTTCGAACGACTTTTCATCGTTTTTAGAAGTATTGAAACATAAAATGAACGTTTCATGGACATAAATACCATAAAATTACTTGGGACTGCTCTAGCTCTGAATTTGACACAAGAGATCGTCCTTACAAGTCATCCTGTTTACGCGACAAGCCAGCCAATCATATGATCGAACTTATGTGACGTAGCTTTCTGGGTCACCTGTGTTGACAGTGAGAGGGCGCCCATGCTGCGATTGTGAAAAGCAGTAAAATTACCTGGATTTTGGAAATGTTTGACATAAATATACAAGTTTAGAGGTAAGAGATTTGAAAATAAGATTATATGAATATAACTTTGAAAATTCAGCGACAGTTCTTAAGTGATCGAACTTACATGACACAAGGGTACGTTGAAGCAGCATGCTGATGGGAACGATCATAAGAAGGCAGTGTGTGCTTCAAATATTCATTTTATCTCAATCTGTAACTGGTAATATGGTTACAGCACAAGTATTTTGGAAGTGTATTTGAAAGAAAGTATGTTCAAGAAGGCTTAAGTTTTATTTTACACTGTATGGTAACATGTTTTCTGAGTATTTATATAGACATGACCTAAATGTGTTTTTTTCTTGACCTTTATTGTTTGTTAACTGACCCCAAGTTTGTTTTATTAGTGGGGACACTGTCCACAATTTGAAAATTCCTTGGCAGAACACTGTACTGTGAACTGACAAACATGGTCTAAGGTGCATTCGTTGTTCACTCTGTCTTCACAGTATCATAGCTTAGAAGCAAATAACATTCTATCACATCAGCTCAAGTATACAAAATATTCAAATTTCTCTAACTTTGTGGACATTATCATTTTTTGCAGGTAATTAATATTATATTTCTCAGTCCTTTCAACAGAGAAGGCAACACACACAGTGTCGTGTCTGTACCAAGTAAAGGTATACAGACAAGTTTAGAAAATCAAAGCTTGGTAACTTCATAAGTTTCAGAGGCTGTTGTTAAGTGGTATACCGCGGTATTAGTAATTTTGCCTTTGGTTCGGTATATCGTAATGCAATCCAAAAATTCAGCATTTTCGGTTTTCATACCGTAATTTTATTAACCTTTTTAAACCTTTTCTAAAATGTCTAGAAATCGAGTCATTTTGTCAAAATCAATGCATTTCTTTGGTAGACGGACACTTTTTTCATGGAAGTAAGGTCGAGATTGCCTCAAGTCTTCTACTTACAAGTCAGCAAGACAGAAACTGCAGATACCTGTCTTATGACTACTGTGTTATGTGAATTTGTTTATGATGTCATCAACTGAGTCACATTCGACAAGAACTGATTTGTGTACTGTTTTTTTAAAACATGAACATTTCTGGGACATAATGGTGATTTCACTGCAGTAAATGCTGATGTGATGTTAGTGACTTCTAATCATACTTGGCTACTTGCTATTTTGCCACACAGCTGTGAGCTCCTAGGTTCCAGTGATACTTTACTTCTTCTATCTAGTCATAAAATGACAGTTTGGTTCATTCAAATAATGTAAGGTTAGGCTCTTGTTGTTAATTTTCTGCATTATGATCATATCTCATATACAGTACAACCA